CACCCAAGAGAAATTGGGGAACCCCTCGTAACATCCAGTATGATAGACCTCCAGGTAATCCGCAGGATGTGTATCAACCTCATTATTACACACCCAGGAGGAATTGGGGAACTCCTCGTAATATGCAATATGATAGGCCTCCAGGTAACCCCGATTATTATCAGGGAGGAAATAGACATGATGGCTATGATGACTATCCAGTCTATAACACCCAGCCTGAACCATCCCAACAGATTCGTTTTTTAGGGGAAGGAACCACACGAAAAAGAAGTATCCGCACAGAGGAAGCAGAGGAGGGAAGAGGGTCAATAGACCCCAAAAAGAGGAAACTATAACAGATAAGGGTATCTTCAATTTGAGTGGCACTACTTTATCCCAACAAGAACTTAAGGTTCTTAATAAAGGTTTAAAATATGCTCCTAAGTCTAAGCTGAATAAGTTTCAGACGTATTTAGATATACACAAGTTTACTAGGAGATTGGCAATCAAACGTTTTTTTTCTTAAACAAACCATTAGCGATTGATCAGAATAGTACCCAACCATCTACATCTCAATTAAGAAATGCTTCCCTTTTCAACCCTCCTCCTCAAACTCAGTCACATATCAATACCTTTAAGGAAATGGTACTTAAAGACATGGAATCTATTAAAATAAAGCGCCCATATAACCAAGTAGGCGTAGATATGGGATTAAAGTCTCTACTTGAAAATAAAGATTTAGTCATAAGGCCCGCGGACAAAGGTGGAGGGGTAGTTCTGCTAAATAAGGTAGACTATATAAAAGAAGTCCAAAGAATACTGGACGATAAAGAAACCTATCAACTATTACCCAAAGATCCACTTGTTACTTACAAGCGGTCTTTGAAACAACTGATAAGTAAAGGTTTTGAGAATAATATCATTAACTCAAAAGAAAAGAACTTCTTGTGTCCAAAGGCCCCAAGACTTCCGATTATATATTGTCTTCCTAAAGTGCACAAGGACCCAGTGCATCCACCAGGGAGACCGATTATTAGTGGAATCGGATCCTTGTGTTCTAAGATTGGTCAATTTATAGATTACCACCTACAGCCCTTAGTGACAGCTACCCCCTCTTATCTGAAAGACACTAAGCAGGTTCTAAATGAAATCAAGAATCTTACATGGAATCCTAAACATATGACTTTCTTGATAACTGCTGACGTAGCCTCTTTGTACAGTAACATTAACCATGAAGACGGTAGATCAGCAGTTAAGTACTATCTTAATACCACTACTAATATCACCAAGAAATTGAAGTCATATATCCTGGAATTATTGGATTTTGCCATGCATACCAATTATTTTTGGTTTAATAATAGATTCTACCTGCAAAAAAGAGGCGTAGCAATGGGAGCAAAGTTTGCTCCCAGCCTGGCCAATTTGTTCATGGCCAGGTGGGAGGAAGATATAATATACTCTCGTGATTGGCCAGAACTTTTATTCTACAAAAGGTATATTGATGATATCTTCCTCCTCTGGCAGGGGGATGAACAGACACTTATCAATTTCTTCGGGTCTCTAAATAATAACAATCTCAATATTCAACTTACCTTTAACTATAGTACTATCAAAATTGATTTTTTAGATGTAACATTGATCAATAATGGAGGCTCTATAATATCAGAAGCCTTCTTTAAGAACACGGATAGGAATAGTTACATCCCGATGGACAGCTGCCACCATCCCTCGTGGCTGGCCAATATTCCTAAAGGCCAGTTCATGAGGATAAGGAGAATATGTACAGATGTTAACACTTACCATCAGAAGGCCGCCGTCCTAAAGGAAAGGTTTATTGAGAAAGGGTATAACGCTACAGTATTAGATGATGAGATGGCCCGAGTGGCAAATATGAATAGAGATATGATGTTAACCACCTCTACCTCACATAAGAACGGTAAATTTTGTCCCTTTATCACATCTTTTTCTATCCAATACAAACAAATCAGTAAGATTATTAAGAAAAACTGGGACATTCTTAAGGCTGATCCAATCCTAGCTAGAGCATTACCTGATAGGCCTGAAATAGTCTTCAGAAAGGCCCCTACCTTACGAGATAAAATCTCACCAAATGTGGTAGATCCTCCCCCTAGAACTACGTTTTTTGGCAATATGACGGGTTTTTACCCATGTAACAAGTGTGTTATATGTAAGTTAGATGGTATACGCAAAAAGAAAATTGAATTTTTCTCTTCCACTATAACTCAGAAAACATATGACATCTCCAGATTGATCACCTGTCATAGCCGTTATGCGGTATACCTCTTAGAGTGCCCATGCAAACGGCAATATATTGGTCGGACCACCAGAAGGCTCAGAGACAGGTTTAGAGAGCACGTTAACTGTATTAAAAAGGGCCGGAAAGAACATCCTCTATCTAGACATTTCCGATACCACCATAACCGGGACCCCACTTTTTTGAAATTTGTAGGGATTGATGCAGTTCATAGTCACTGGCGAGGTACAAATAAGCTCAGACAAGTCTCCCAAATGGAAACGAGGTGGATATACGAGATGAGAACATTATCCCCTCTTGGCCATAATGTAGAGGTAGACATAAATTGCTATATAGATAATAGTTAATATCTATGTCTTCAATTGTTTATATGGCCCTTTGTCTAATTCTGATTATTCACATTCACATTGTAGATTGTCGGGAGCATTGCAACATCATATGAATATAGATTAGGACGACCTTAGCTACTATAACAATCCACTTATTTGTGGATTATGACCTATAAGGTTTTCTAATATGGCCCACTTAGAAATTAGAAATTTCATTCATATTTTTTCTGATACTTGTCATTGCAACTTTTATATATTTTTGTTTTTATCTTATGTATTTTATTGTATTGAAGTGGGTTCAATGAGGACATATACTGTATAGTTATGAACACTCATCATAGCCCCCATGTTTTTGCTTTTATATGACCCCTAACGGCTAACATGTGTATAATTTTATACATTTTTGTATATAACCATATTGTTTATACACAGTGGTTTTAAGCATTGTATAAAATATCTTTAGTCTTACTATAGTGATTTTTTATCACCACGGAGTGTTCAATAGTAAACATGTGGTGTTAATGGGTACATAAGATACCACGTCTGACACTTACTAATGAAGCATGATGTATTTAATCTACACATCAGAGCCTCCCTTAGGTGAATAGGACATTTATCTAAATTTTAAATATATCCTTAATTGTCCATTCACTGTCCCTGCATTTGTGCAGGTAAAGTGTGTATTCATCCTGTCAGACCACGGGAATATGGCGATTTCGTTCGCGCATGCGCACTGTCGCACCGACCCACGATAAAATGGCGTCGGTCCGTTGTGCTCATTCACTATAATATTGTCCATTCACTGTCCCTGTATTTGTGCAGGTAGAGTGTGTTCTCATCCTGTTAGACCACGGGAATATGGCGATTCCGTTCGCGCATGCGCACTGCTGCACCGGCCCACGGCAAAATGGCGTCGGTCCGCTGTGCTCATCTGCGCATGCGCACTTATACAGCCAGCCCCCGGGAATATGGCGCCGACCTGTATCGATCGGCGCCTCTTTTATCTCCTCTTGGGGGCACTGGGGAAGCCTGGGACTGTGATATGTGGGAGAGAGGGATGAGCTCCTCCCCACTAGCTTATAGATTTATATATAATATGTTCCACCGCGGTTGGGTATGCGGTGGATACATACACCATTGGGCTACTATAAAAATGGCGCCCGGACGCCCGCACATGCGCAGTATGCGGGACTTTGACAAAATGGCACCCAATTAACCTGAATACAAGCTTACAATACACTATATATATGACTTTTGTGGCGTCCGGCAGCTATGGCTCTTATTCCTTCTGATGATGTACGTGTGATACGAAACGCGCGTCAAGGAGGAGCCTCTGCTAGCCGTGACGCTAAGCCGCCGGATCAAGGGGGTCCGGCGGCCACTCTTCTATACCAGCTGGTCAGTGTGTCATTCATGATATCCTTAGTGCACAAGGATTGATTTTATTCTTATACTTATGTTAAGTGGTTTTGTTTTAATATACAATAAATCCTTTTAAATTTGACACAACTACTACACTATGGGTATTCCTTTTTGCTCCACATCGAGCATTTAATTCCTCAGGACCACCAGGTGATTATCCCAAGGCCCAGAGAAAAATTCAGTTGACCCTGTTTTGGAGCCTGCCTGCCAGAGGGAATCCCCGGATGTGATATCTTTCATCATAGAACCACCTATCCAGAGCTTCCCTTCATCTACAGTCGGAGTGACCTTTGGTGTATAAGACACAAACGCACAATTTAAATTGTGCTTCCGGTGAGTGCGCAATTTAATTATTTCTTCTGCATATCGCCGGACTACATGCATCATAAGGATTTCATTGAAATACACTCATCTATGTCTTTTTGATGACTGGACTATACTGTGCATTTATATTGTGCGTTTTGTATTGTGAAGTGAAGTCGTGTGAAGCTCACGTTTTTTCAATTCTTGGGAAGATCACATGCAGTGTGTTTGGTCACACATATGTATGTGGTCTACACCCGTTGACATTTAAGTAAGGGATATTGCACCATCTTCAATATTGGTACAGTCATATAACATCTAGCGCTGCACTATTTATTTTATATTGTTTGTTTGAAGGTTGATGGTTTTCCTTTTTAGTGTATCAGCTGCTGTGTTGGTTAGCGCTCACTGAATCCCTCATTACCATTTTATTAAATGCTTTATATGCTCCAAGATGGAGGGTCTTATAGATTAGTTAAGGAACACACTGCACAGAGGGGCATTGATAAAGGCCTCCACTTAGAATTGCAAGTGTGAACGAACTAAAACCTCTGTTTTTTAATGCAGATGTAATTTATTTTAGCTGGTAAGTATGCAGAAACATTTTTGTTTTGTGTTTCACTGTATTAGGCACTTTTTGGGGAACTACAGTCATTTCTTTTGTACAATATATACCAACAAGGTTGAATTACCTTCTTGATGCGAAAGTGCTTGCAGATTTTGGCATTTTCAGCTTGGAATGATTTAGGGTTCCAGCTGTATTTCTTTGCTTGCTTTTTCTTCATGTTAACATAGCTTTCATTTTCTATTACCACAGCCTCAGAGTCCAGATCATCTACTTCATCCTCCTCAGTTTGGGTAATTTTATTAACTTCTGCTATTATTGTCTGTTCCTTCCTACCTATGAACACAAAGCCAATGCATGATAAAGTTAGATCAGTTTACATACATACAGTTATTTGGCATTACACGGAATATGTCCCATCTTCCTGAAACTTTCCCAGAATTTGGGAATCTAGGCCTCGTTCACAACATATGTGCCTAAAAAATTGAAAAAAAAAAAACACTGATTTCACTTGCAGAGACATGAATATACATCAGTTTTCATGCGCATTTCAACACTGCTGTCATGCCAGTTTTTTCCTGCGCAGAAATATGTAACATATTCTGTGCAACAGCACAAATAAAACAATTGCTTTGTGTCCTGTTCACGCCACAATGCTGATGTCACATCATTTTTTTCCCATGCAGAAAACTGCATACATGTTGCAGATGCCTGCGCAGAAAAAAAATTTGCACGATACCAGTGTTGTGCGAACAGGGCACATTGAGAACAATTGTTTTCTTTGTGCTCTTGCAGAACATGTGCAGAAAAACACATCTCTGCACATGGTGTGAATGAGGCCTTAATTATTAATCTGTGTTACAGCCTTTATTGTGCACAGCGTGTTAGTATGCGTTGTATAAAGGAACCCCATTTATTTTGAATGCCTGCCAACACACCTGAAACCACTGATCCTTTTTTGGTAATGCACTGCACAAAAAGAAAAAATAATTTCTGTCATTCAAATCTTTAAGATTAATTTCTATATAAAATATTCTTCTACTCTATATATATGTATTATAATGCATGCAGCAACAGAAGCCTGAGAGATTTTGAGATTTCCCAGTAGAACATTGAAAAGAAACTGTTGAATGAACAGGATATGAACCAGGAAGGTTCAGCAAGAAATATTCTAAAGGAGAATGTTTGAAAAAAAAGGCTGCAATTATTAGGGGATTACTGACAAAACATAATTACTTCACCCTGCCAATTGAAACAGTGTTTACTTCAAATATCCTATACAGTAGTATGTGGGAAAAAAAAAAGTACATCTATTGTAATTTTTTTCTGTAGAACACTGGGTGCTGAAGCCAAAAAAAAGTTGCCTTGAGAAGTTAATAACTTTTCATAAATGAGCTCATTGTCTGCAGTGACACTACACATTCAAGCACTGAAAAAAAAAAGGATACTGAGCAATTAGTGTTGATGGTTTAAAAATCTTGTTTCTGTGTATAATTTCTGAGTACGGGAAAGGGGTTGATCACTAGATTTGTAAGTTATTTCTACTACTAAATAGTACTACACAGTGACTGTGGTTAAGTCTGACTTGTCAGCTAACAACAGTATTTCTATCAGGATGAATGATTTTATCTAAACAACCACAGAGGGCAAACAATGAGGATATAAATATGGGATCTGAATTTTAAAAGGTCCAAGGCTGTTATCATCATCATTGGTTAGCCTATTAAGGAAAAATGTAGCTGGAACAGGTATGCAGCCTGTGAAATCTGAAAAACTGTAAAAAGTACCCATGAACCAAGCATGATTTGACCACTAAACTACCAGACTCTCCAAAACATATGAGAAACAAGAGGAAAAGTTACCTCACACACAAAGAAAAACTAAACATTAGGTTTTGAGTGAAAAGTTCATTAAAATATTAATTCAGGTAGGTATCTGACTTAAACATATGCATGAAATCATGTACCTTCTGGTATATGGCTTGGTTTTTCAAAAGAGAGAGGTTTATTAATAATTATATGTGGTTTCTTGCTTTCAGAAGTTGCTGGTTGTATAAAAGGTGGAGGGATGCTGAATCTGTGATGTGTGTTTGCAAGCAATTTTACAATGTCATGTTCATCTTCTAAGCAGGTAACCAATGAGTAGACAGCCGGTTCACCAGTCTGAGCAAGTCTTAATGCCTTTTCATAAAGATATTCTGCCATATGCAGTCGACAGGCCATTGGAAAGTCTTCATTGAGTGAGTGAATCGCTACCAGTGGTGGTTCATAGGGGTATTGGTTATCCTTTGGGAAACGAATTTCAAGTTCATACAGGTAACTGCTATCTGCATTGGCATTTAGATGAGATGTATCCTTCAAGATCTGCTTTGGTACTTCATGCTTAAATCTACACTTTGACCCAAATCTGCATGTTTTACCCGCTACAAAAAACCTACAGATATTTCTAAGATCTGACTTCATCAATTCTTTGGTATTGTCCTTGTGTGTTGACTTTTGCAGCCTGACTGTCAGATAATCCAGCTCCAGTCCAACTGTCCAAACTTTATTTGGTATTCTCTCAATAAATTTCTCCCCACAGATTGAACTAAGGACAAATGCCCTCTTCCTGACGTAATGGTAAGATGTCCTCCATTTTAATATCACTAGCAGATTGCGCAGCTTTGTTCTGCATGCCAAAAGCTTCTGAAAAGCACTGTTGCAGCAAATGCTCTAGAGATGTACCAACTTCTCCATCATGAGTCCTGAGAGCAATCATACATCTCTCTCGATCAAAGCCATACCTGCATCATAAAAAAACAGGTATTTATTAAAACATTTGCCAACTGTTAACCTAGAAAAATGAATCACCACTTTTATCTAAACAATAAATATAGAAAAAAAAACCCACCAGACCATGAATACAAAACACATACTGTCCACCCTTTAGCAGATACTTCACAATGAATTCATAGGCTGTAAAGCCATCTTTTGCCATCATATCTCAAAGTAAAGCAAAAAAAAAAAGAAAATCACAATTTTCTTACAGCTATGACACCCTGCTGTAGGGATGATTTTCAGTTGCAGTATGCAATGACTGACAACTGAACCTGCAACCGAACACACACACACAGCAGCAATTCTACAAATATTTTGCCAACTGTAGTGACCTTGGGGGCTAAGGTGGATTGTCAAAACTGTAAAGGTTAGATGGTAAACCTTGCAGATCTGTAGAGTCCAAAGCATAATGTGGCAAATAATAAGCAATATTTTTTCTTTTTTATGTGACTAGGAATTTTTAAATGTAACCAAAAATGTTAATGTATGTGAAAAGAGTTACACCAATAATACAAAATATTTGGGTTTTTTTGCTCACAGCTCACATTCTTTTTGTTCACAGCTTGCTAAACACATTGGATAAAATTTGCATCTTTCGTTGGACTCACCGGGATAATTTTCCAATAGCAAAAGGGGATATGACTGCCTCTGGTAACATTTCAACCTGCTGATCTGCCTGATCTTTTGCTACTGGGGAGGACCAGAAACTGAACTCCAAGTCTTCGTCAGAGTTATTCTTATTCTCATCTTCCTCCTCCTGGGAGCTGTTGTAGTCAGACTCTTCCAAATCAGATCCTGCATCGCTATAAACAAAAACACAAGTATTATATATTTTTCATTATTATTTTACAGGATTTATATAGTGCCAACAGTTTGCACAGCACTTATATAAAAGTTATTTAAAAGTTCAAGACAAGTGGTTTAGGAGGGGCCTGCACATGAGATCTTACAATTTAAAAGAGATGGGTATGTGATACACAAGGTAATAATTGTGAGGGGATAGGTTGATGGAGAAAGTAAATGTTCAGTTTTTGGGTAAAGGAAGCATAGGTTTCTTTGAAGAGGTGAGTTTTCAGGGATCGCCTAAGAGCAGACAAAGTAGGAGACGGCCAGCAAAATTTGGGGAGGAGAGTTCAAGTGAACAGGACAGACTCTGAAGAAGTCTAGAAGGCGAACATAGAAGAAGAAATGAGGGAGCTTGGGGTACGGGTATTGAGAGGAGCAAAGAAGGTTTGCGTGACATTTTGAAGCTTAGTTGGTGATGTAGCTCAGGACAGTGTTGTTGATTTACTGTATGTTATTAGATTTTGAATTTTATTTGTAGAGCCAACAAAAGCCATTGGAGAGATTGACAAAGGGGTGGCAGACTGAACAGCTGGTGAGGTGGATGTGTCTGGCAGAAGAATTTATGATACACTGAAGAGGGGACAGCCTGTGTAGAAGTAAGGCAACAAGGAGGTAGTAGCTGTAGTCAAGGTGATAGATATAAATAATATTTGCTGTCATTGATGTCTAGCTTGTTGACCAACTGTTGAAATGTTATACCTTACCTCTCAGATCAGTTTTTTAACTCTGAGAAATCTTAGAAGTTAAAAAGGTTGTAGTCTAGCAGACAAAATGTATTTAAGTCATGTTTAAACTACTAAGGTTTATAACTATTAAAATGGAAAAGCTTTAAAAAAGGGATATAAAATTATTACCAATTAATGCTCATTCTAAGGTAGAATTTATTTAGGAGATCTGTCCTAATTTTCTCACCATACTGCATGGCCAAATTTTCAGTTTTCTCTACTGGCTATCTGCATGTCAATGAAATCAACTTTCTTCTTGAATGATTACCTTGGACAAATAATTCACAAGAAAAATTAAAGGAACACTTTTTAATCAGAGTATAGTATCAAGTCAATTAAACTCCTGGGATATTGATCTGGTCAGTTAAGTAGCAGAGGGGGTTGTTAATCAGTTTCACCTGCTTTGGTGTTAATGAAATCAACAACAGGTGCACTAGATGGGCAACAATGAGACAACACCCAAAGCAGGAACGGTTTTACAGGTAGATGCCACTGACATTTTTTTCCCTACTCATCTTTTCTGACAGTTTTTGTATTTCAATGATTTTTATTAGTTTATGAACAGTTAAAAAAAAATAAACCAGGACCATCAAGACACGCCCACGCAGGCAATCAATTGCACGTAAAAAAATAAAGAAAACAGTGCTCTAACAACAACAGAGCAAAAGATGCGCCCACGCAGGGGCTATCAATGGCACATAAATTACAAAAACATTGGTATAACATTGACAATAACTCAAATCTAAGGCAGCTATCCACCACCACACCAAAACAAACAGAAATAGAAAAAGGAAGGAGGAGTACAAAAGGAAAAACATGACAAGGCCATGAGCAGGGGTTCGGGAACGCCAACACCGAGCAACCTCACAACCCCAGACTAGCCGGGGGGAGCTTGGGAAGGGCATATTGCAACTACAGCTCCCATATTTTCAAAAATTTCCGTTGGAAGTCGTTACAAATACTCGACATCTGTTAATTAAGCATCATAGTGGTCATACAGTCTCGCATCCCCTGAAGAGAGACAAATGGGCGCTTCCAGGCCTGAGCAATTGTTCTAGTGGCCGCCAAAAACAAAATAAGAAGCCAACTTCTGCTGGTGAACCAAGAGGCCCGGTATGGGACAATGAAGCAAAGCGTACCGAGCATCCCGGCGTATAGGGAGATGGAACAAGGTAAAAAAGAAGGCCAAACACACGAGACCAAAAACAAATCAGTCTCGGGCATGACCACCAGATATGCAATACATCACCATGATGGCTACAACCCTGAAAGCTTCGATCACTGTAGGCACGGATTGCCTGGGCTAAACGAGCAGGAACCCAATCCCAGCAAAACAACACTTTGTATGCCACCTCCAGCGTGGCCGTATTAAAGAAACATTTAGCTATAAACGACCAGGCCCTATTCCAGTCCTCCAGATCCATGATTGTCCCCAGGTCACACTTCCATTGAGCGACATATGAGACATAAGCATACGTCGAGCGTCTGTTCAAAGCTGCATAAAAAAGGGAAATAAGGCCCGGGGCGCCCGGACGCTGTTGGCAAAGCTGTTCAAAGGCAGATTTCTGATACGGAAAAGCGGAGGTGTCCCGCAGTGAGGTCAGCCAATGCTGCAATTGAAAGTAACGAAAAAATTCCGCCGGAAGGACATCCCGTGACTCCCGAAGAAAATTCCAGGTGGGGAAGGACCAAGAAGTCCTGAAGGACGAAGGAATTGATGCCATTGAATGGCCCCCACCCTCGCCTGACCTAAATCCAATAGAACACCTCTGGGATATCATGTTTCGGTCCATCTTACGTCGCCAGGTTGCACCTTGGACTATCCAAAAGCTCAGTGATGCCCTGGTCAAAATCTGGGAGGAATTATCCCAGGACACCATCCTTCGTCTTATTAGGAGCATGCCCAGATGCTGTCAGGCATGCATAAAAGCACGTGGGGGCCATACACACTACTCAGTACCATTTTGAGCTGCTGCAGTGAAATTTCAGCAAAATGGACTAGCCTGCTGCATCACTCTATCACTTTGATTTTCAGGGTGTGTTTGAATTCAGTCCTCTGTGGGTTGATAATTTTCATTTCCATCAAACGATGGGGCATCCTTATGTTCCTAACATATTACCCAGTCCATACCAGTATAGATATCCAGCATGATATTTTTCCCCACTGAGACCTGATGTGTTTTCAAGGTGTTCCTTTAATTTTTTTTTTTTTTTTTAGAGATTATATATATATATATATATATATATATATATATATATATATATAAATACACACATATATACACACACACTGTATATACATATACACTGTATTGCCAAAAGTATTGGGACATTTACCTTTACACGTACATGAACTTTAATGGCATCCCCGTCTTAGTCCTCAGGGTTCAATATTGAGTTGGCCTGCCCTTTGCAGCTATAACTTCAACTTTCTGGGAAGGCTGTCCACAAGGTTTAGGCATGTGTCTAAACACAAAGTTTGACCATTCTTCCAGAAGCACATTTGTGAGGTAAGGCAATTGGGAGTATGAAATTGTCCAAAATGTCTTGGTATGGTGACACCTTAAGAGTTCCCTTCACTTGAACTAAGGGGCCAAGCCCAACCCCTGAAAAACAACCCTACACCATAAACCCCCTCCACAATGCAGTCAGGCAAGTACCATTCTCCTGGCAAATGCCAAACCCAGACACGTCCATCAGATTGCCAGACAGAAGCGTGATTCGTCACTCCAGAGAACACGTCTCCACTGCTCTAGAGTTCAGTGGGGGCGTGCTTTACACCACTGCATCCACTGCTTTGCATTGCACTTGGTGTAAGGCTTGGATGCAACTGCTCGGCCATGGAAATCCATTTTATGAGGCTCTCTATGCATGGTTGTTGTGCTAATCTGAAGGCCACGTGAAGTTTGGAGGTCTTTAGCTATTGACTCTGCAGGCAGTTGGTGACTTCTGTGCACGTTGCGCTTCAGCATACGCTGACCCCACTCTGTCATTTTACGTGGCCTACCACGTCGTGGCTGAGTTGCTGTTGTTCCCAGTTGCTTCCACTTTGTTATAATACCACTAACAGTTGACCGTAGAATATTTAGTAGCAATGAAATTTCATGGATGGACTTGTCAACCTATAACGGTACCACGCTTGAATTCACTGAGCTCCTGAGAGCGACCCTTTTTTACACAATTGTTTGTAGAAGACGTTTGCATGTCTAGGTGCTTGATTTTATACACCTTCAGCCATGGAAGTGATTGGAACACCTGAATCTAATGATTTGGAGGGGTGCCCCAATACTTTTGGCAATATAGTGTATATAGCGGGTATAGAAAATTATCACCCCCCCTTAAAATAATCACATTTTGTTGCTTTGCAGTCTGAGATGAAGATAGACACAGCTTTTATTTTATCCAGCTACAGTTACTTAGTACAACTTATAACATCCAAGTGAAAGATATAACACCAACATGAAAGAAAAAAAACTCAAAAATGTAAAAACAGAATCAATGAGTAGGAAATGGATCACCCCCCCTTCCTAAAAATGACTTGTAAACTCAATCAGGTGTACCTAATCACCTTTTCAATGAAACACAAAGCCATTTGACTTTAAACTGCGATCAGCTGTGGTTATTGTGGATTAGCTCAGCATCAGAGCTTTCTTGGAGCATTCAAGGCCTGGTAGTGACACTGAAGCAAACAATCAACTATGGGTGGCACTGCACTGTAAAAAGATCTCTGAGATAAAGTTGTGGACGGCACAAGTCAGGAGACGGATGCAAAAAAATTTCAAAAGCTTTATCAATGCCTAGAAGCACAGTGAAGTCTATTATTAAGAAGTGGAAGGTATTTGGTATAACACAGACCTTCCCTGGATCAGGTCATCGCTCCAAACTGGATGAAAGAACCAGGAGGAAACTGATCAGAGGGGCTACCAAGAGGCCTATAGCAACTTTGAAGCAGTTTCAGGAATTTATGAGTGATCATTATGTGTGTAGGACAGCAAATTCTCCACAAATGTGACTTGTATGGGAGGGTCTCAAGAAAAAAGCCACTCCTCAAGAAAGGCCACATGCAGTCAAGACTGAGCTTTGCCAAAACGCACTTTGAAGATTCTGATGACACATGGAAAAAGGTGTTATGTCAGATGAGACAAATTGAATTATATGGCCTCAACACTGTAACCAAAAGTTCATACCTAGAGACCAGCGGTTGCAGAAAATATATACAGGAGCCAGAGCACTGCACCTGCAATCCACTGATCAGTTGCAAAGCTTTTCAGACTCCAATGGAAAAAAAAAACAACAAACATTTATAATAATAATGCACTTTTTTTTATTTATTATGGGTGCATTTATTATTTCTTTGCAAGGTGGAGTTAGCCTTTAAAGATTATGAGATGCCAAATGCATTGACCTATGAAAACAATTAGAGTGCACTCTAAATAAAATAACTACTGTATAACTATCAATTAAAGGATCTTTTTGCTTATAAAGAAAAAAAAAAAAATACAAGCAATGGCTCTCCTCTTCACCTCTATAGAACCTGTTAATGTGCTTGGCACTGCCTAGCCCATGGGTGTTAAACTGGCGGCTCTCCAGCTGTGTCCAAACTACAAGTCCCATGAGGCATTGCAAAATTGACAGTTACATGCAAGACTCCCAAAGGCAGAGGCATGATGGGACTTGTAGTGTCGCAACAGCTGGAGGATCGCCAGTTTAACATGCCATAACATGGTTGAAAACACTTCCCAGCTGGGTGAAGGGCCAATGGGCAATAAGTCTGCGATGCAGCTAAGGTCAATGGTAACATACAAGGCAGGAATGGGTATAGGGGAACCCATTAAATGTTTTTGCTAGAAAAAAAATTAATCTTGTACTTTATATAAACTGTGATTTACAGCCTAAAATGTGTATTACTTGAATTTAAAACAAATCTTAAATGATTTAGAACCATCATGTTACAGTAATTCAATACTTACTCAATAGCACCATCCAGATCTGGAGCTTGAAGATCCCGTAGCAGAGCTTTCACCCGTGCTTGGTTCTCAGTGGTCATGTGAAGAGTCTGCAGGGAAGTGCTGACTATTGAGCCGCCACGGGCTCGAGAACTGTGCCTCTGGTCCTGACTTAAAAAAAACAGGACAGTAATAAGATCGATTATACTTACATCATGTTTTTGCCAAATATAGCCCCCACATGCAATGTCAAATGAGTTCTTTTACCAAATGGGTAAGTGTTAAGATATGAAGCGTTAGACACTTTCAAGATCAAAAATAAAAATTAAAAAACAAAAAAAGGCAACAAGTGACCACGCAGGGTCTCACAGTTCATACAGAATAGAAAACATCTGTACAGAGATCTTAGCAAAGTATATCAAATAACAGGGTTATGCACTCCAGAGTAAAATACTTAGTATAGATAGCAATAAAGCAGGACCTAAATGTCTGGATCTAGAGAGGTTAAAGTAAGAGGGCTAGCAATCCACCCGCCCCAAAGCTTATCAAGCAGTTTTCGCTTCTTCCTCAATTCAAAAGTGAGCTTATACAGGAGGGAGGGAATCATTATTTCTTTTAAGTTTAACTTGTTGCCGTCCAGCCACTGTGGAAAAACGTCCACAAGGTGGCACTGCTGGGCAAAACCACGTTTTTTTAAAACGTCATTTTGCAAAACAGGTAGGGGGCGCGCCAGAGGGGCGTGACTGCCCTACCTGTTCCGCCGATCGTGGCTACAGGTGTCAATCACCGGGTCCCGGCCAGTCATTACTCGCCGGGTCCGGGTGATTGCTGGCAAACAGTGACACAGAGCACAGCTGCATTGTTTACAGTGCAGCTCTGCTCCCTGTCAGCTCCTAATACGCTGATCCTGAGAGCGGAGTTTATCTCTCGGGGTCAGCGTGTTCCTGTGAAGTACACACTCCCCCCCCCCTCCCCCAGTAAAACACTCCTCTCACACAGTTAACCTTTTCATTGCCTAAAAAAAGTTAACTCCTTCCCCCCCAGTGCCATTAGTACAGTGTCAGTGTTTTTTTTTTTTTTGCACTGATTACTGTATTGGTGTTACTGGGGATGTCAGTGACCACAAGTCAGTTCCTCCCCAGTGTCAAAATGTCCGCCGCAGTCCCGCCATAAGTCGCTGATCACTGTCATAAATCGCTGATCGCCGCCATTATTAGTATATAAAAAAAAAAAATCCCAGTATATATACCACCATTTGTAGACGCTATAACTTTCACGTAAACCAATTAATTTACACGTAGTGGGATTTTTTATTTTTAGCAAAGACATGTCGCAGAATACATTTTGGCTGAAATTTATGACGAAATTTGATAAAAAAATTTACTGGACATGTTTTATAGCAAAAAGTCCAAAATATTTTTTCTTTTCCTCAAAATTGTCAGCATTTTTTTTTTTATAGCGCAAAAAATAAAAAAAAAAAAAACGCACAGGCGATCAAATACCACCAAAACAAAGCTCAATTCGTGGGAAAAAAGGATGTAAATTTAATTTGGGTGCAGTGTTGCATGACCGGGCATTTGTCAGTTAAAGTAACGCATCGACGTAACACAAACCACTTCTGTAAGCATTTCCTGACCGCCCTATAGCAGAAATACTGCTACAGGGCGGCATGGATGCGCAAAATCACACACACATATATATATATATATATATATATATATATATATATATATATATATATATATATATATAAAATATATATATACACACACACACACACACATATATACATATATATATATATACACACACACACATACATATACACAAGATTTGCTCTCCCGTGGTTTCCACGCCCCTCCCAGATAGCGTCAGATTGCCCGTCAGTACACCAATAATCACATTTAACCCCTTGATTGCCAGGAGCACACTCATGCACAATAAGGATATAAACAGCGCCATTTGTAAATTGGGAAAGCATCTGATCACACCGATTTTGGTTTGATTGGATAATGTAAGGGCAGAGGAGATATCTAGAGCCTGATAGACTCCAGATTTCTCAAAAAAGAATATATAACAATGCCCATTGAACTTATAGGGGATATTTGCATTCCCTGTGATAGCATTAAAAGTGATAAAAAAAAAAAAAAAAAAAAAAAAATGAAAGGTACAGTGTAAAAATAATTAAAAAAATCAAAAGTAACAAAAAAAAAAAAAAAAACCTCGCCGCTCCCATGTACGCACACCTGTGTGCACAAGCGTTGAGCCTGTGCCGGTATGTAAACAGCGGTTGCACACCATCAGATCAAGGGCAGTAATTCTAACACTAGACCTCCTCCGTAAATCTAAAATAGTGGCTTTTAAAGTGTTGCCTATGGATATTAAAAATGTATGCATTTTGTCGCCATTGCACAGGGCATGCGCAGTTTTAAAGCATGTCATGTTTGGTATCTATTTACTCAGCATACCATCATCTTTTATATCTTACCAAATAATTGGCCAATATACTGTGTTTTTGTGCATTAAAAGTAAAAAAAAAATTGCTTTTGAAAAATCCCTGCGCGAGAACTATGTGCCATAAAAACCTTGTGAGAAAAAATGAGATCTGCAAAATACTCACCATGCCTCTTTTTAAATTCCTTGGGGTGTATATTTTCCAGAAAGGGGTCATTTGGGGGGGTTTGGTGCTATCCTGGCATGTCAGGGCCTTCGAAACTGTGATAGGTAGTGAGGAAGTGAAATGAGGAAGTTATACACCTTCAGGCTTTCAAAGTGGTCCTTGGATTACAGGCTCCTGTATGTTTCTAGGCTCCCAAAAAGTCTCACACATATGGTATCCCCATACTCAGTAGAAGTAGCAGAATGTATTTTGGGGTGTAAGTCCATATATACCCATGGCTTGTGCGAGAAATAAATAATTTAAATGACAACTTTGTGTAAAATAATAATGCTTTTGTCATTTTCCAGAAACTTGTGGAAAAAAAAAAAAAAATCTTTCATGGATTCAATATGCCTCTCAGCAGATAGCTCAGGGTGTCTACTTTCCAAAAAGGGGTCATTTGGGGGTGTTTGTACTATCCTGGTATTTTAGCACCTCAAGAAATGTGATGGGCAGTCAGAAAGTAAAAGCTGTGTAAATTCCATTATCTATACCATAGTTTGTAGATGCTATAACTTTCACACAAAGCAATAAATATATACTTACTGGGATTTTTTTAACCAAAAACATGTAGCAGAATACATTTTGGCCTAAATTTATGACGAAATTTTAGTTTTTTTGGATATTTTTTTTATGACCGAAATGAGAAAATATTGTTTTTTTAAAAAAAAAAAAGTTTCTTCAAAAATTTTTTTGTTTATAGCGCCAAAAATAAAAAGTAAACAGGTGATCATATACCACCAAAAGAAAGCTCTATTTGTGTGAAAAAAAAGGACAGAAAATTTCATTTATGTACCGTATTGCATGACCGCGCAATTGTCCGTTAAACTAGCGCAGCGCTGTATAGCAAAAAAATGGCGTAAATTGCAGTATCTATAACATAGTTTGTAGGCACTATAACTTTCACACAAAGCAATCAATATACTCTTTTTGGGATTTTTTTTTTACCAAAAACATGTAGCAGAATACATTTTAGCCTAAATTTATAACTAACTTTGAGTTTATCATATATTTTTTATAGCTGAAAGTAAATAATATAGTTTTTATTCAAATTTTCCATCTTTTTTGTTTATAGCATGAAAAATAAAAAGCACACAGGTGATCAAATACCACCGAAAGAAAGATCTATTTGTGTGAAAAAAGGACGTAAATTTCGTTTGGGTGCAGCATTGCATGACTGTGCAATTATCAGTTGAATTAGTGCAGCGCCGAGTAGCAAAAAGAGGCCTGATCATTAAGGGGGGTAAATCCTCAGGAGTGCAAGTGGTTAAGACATTTTGGTATAGCTGTCAATACCAACCCCTTCCAGGAAAGCAAGATCACTATTTTAGCATAGAAGTACAAAATGCGTAATAACCATTTGGCATATTTAGAGAGATAATTCTCCAAAAATTCCCAGAAGGCAAATTTTAGGATTCAGAACATTAGGGAGGCCCAACACAGAAGAAATAAATGAACCTATATCTGTCCAAAACTGTTGTACCAAAAGGACATGACCAAAAACAGTGTAGGAAATCAGCAACCTAGCCACATCCCCTAAAACAGGTCACTACAGAGTGTAACCCCATTTTATGTAATCTAGCAGGGGTAAGGTGTGAGTTATGAAAAGATTTCAAATGCATAATTCTATCTTTTGAGAAAACAACAGAAGTTTTGAAGGTGTCACGAAAATAAGACCAGTCCGAGTCAGTAAAAACTATATCTAAGGAAGCCCCATCACACACAGTCAGTCACAAGTACAGAGTAATATACAGAAATGAGCTCAGTAGGGTCAGGTCGACTAACAGTTTTTCCAGGGGAGTCTCTTGAAGGGCATTATCTAAAGATCCAAATTGTGCTCAAATGGCATTTCGTAGCCAATAATCATAAAAAGAATAAGAAGATGACAGATTAAATTAATCTTTCAAAGTAACAGAAGGACTTAACCAGTTCCTGTCCGGACACTTTTACCCCCTTCCTGTCCAGGGCAATTTTCAGCTTTCAGCGCTATCACACTTTGAATGACAATTGCGTGGTCATGCAACACTGTACCCATATGAAGTTTTTACCATTTTTTTGAGACAGATAAAGCTTTATTTTGGTGGTATTTATTCATCGCTGGGATTTTTATTTTTTTTGCTATATAAATGAAAAAAGTCCAAATATTTTGAAAAAAGTGTTTTTCTTATAAAATTTTGCAAATAAATAATATTTCATCATAAATCTTGGCCAAAATTTATTCCGTTACCTTTTTAGTAAAAAAAAAAAAAATACGCCAAATTAGTTTATAACCAAAAATGATAACTTTTACATTTTTTTTTTTAATGTTTTTTTTTTACATACCGTCACCCTAGCAGTACAGTGTCACTACTTGTGGGGGGTGATGAAGATTTTTTCTTCTTTTACAGTGATTGCTTTTACACCCATATAGGATGTAAAAGCAATCATTTCTCTTTCTCTCTGTCTGCATTCTTGCAGCCATTGAGAAATACTGTGTGAGCTGTGATTGGTCAGAGCTTGTCACATGATACAA